ATTGCAGCTGTTGCAGTTTAAAAACGATCATAATAACGTTAAAAACATAGGAGGAGGGTCGCCACCGAAAAAATCACAGTTTGCGATGGTCTCACTTGCAGATGCTTGACTAAACGGGTTTATTATGCAAAAAGTATGGGTGATGATGCAGTTTGGCAGAGGAGCTTCAGCCGCCAATGGTATTCCACAAAGTAAGCTAGATTCCCATAAGGATATCCGGCAACTGGGCGCCACCCTGAATGCACACTTAATATCAAGTCCTAACACCGTGCGGGAACAATAACTTAAAAATCTTTTAGTAATTAATAAATGTATGGACTTTGGAAATGTGTGAGAAGTGCTGCCTTTCTTCCGTATTCATTTAATTTTAGTCAGTTTGCAGAAAGTTAAAATAAAGAAACGATGATCGGTGACATGAGTTGGCCCACTTTTTGCCTAAAATAAGAAGGATCTGGCTGCTAAATAAAAGTAGGTCCAAAATAGGCACATTCACTGGTCGTGCGCGTCTGGTTCACAGATGTACCTGGCAAAACTCAAATTGAGGTCCAGTTATCCTCTACCATCTTCCAAATAATTTCAGTTTTTGGGTTTTCGCATTAAAATCCCATTGGACCTTACAAAAGACCCCAGACTTTATACTTTTTTAAAGATTTCCTCCATTTAAATAGGTTGTCCACCAACAGGGTGTAAAGGTGGTAATATTCTGGCAACTGGGAAATATAAAATACATCTGAAAGCGGAAAAGAGGATTCGCTACTAGTAGAAGTGCAAATTCTTAGTATTTGAATTCCAGATGCTTTACCTAATGCCTGTGGGAGGCGGAGGGCTTAAGGTAAATCACCAATTAGAAGCCACTGAGAGACAACTGTTTATATTCCATACCGGAATGTTCGTTGCTTTCACACAAATTATTAGCAAAACCTGACGTTGAAATACAGAAGGCCCGCTCTCGACCAAAATTAAAGTTAACTTCCATAGTGTGCTGGAGATACCAAGAAAATAATGGCTTAAAATGCGACAATGGTGGGCTCCAAATTGCCAACGAACGATATCACCAACCGAAACCTTAATACAGCTGATCATCAAGAAATATTACTGAAAAATACAAAGCAGGCCGTAATGATGATTGTTGAATTGCCTGCCATTATCAGTCATTCATAACGTAAGTTCAGATTCGAAGGACCCGAGACTTTAACGCAGATACTACGCAACTCTCTAAGTTTTATTTTTTTGGAGAAAGTATGCAGTCTTAGAGGTTGTGTACTCCCAGTGACACAAATTCATATCGATTGTAAACACATGTATCTTGCAGTAAATGCGAAGGTTTTAAAAAAACGTACTTTCAACTTCTCCTGTTTCTCTGTCAGTCTCTGCTCAATTTGAACTTGATGACACTGCAGGTCCTCCAATTTCCGACGCAGACCGTTCACACGACCCATCACCTCATCTCTTTCTGCGGTAGCCTCGCTCAGAGCCTTCTCCAGATAGTCCATCTGTTTATTGTGGCGTAGCTTGTCCTGATTCTCTAGTTCCAGGATCTTCTGCAAAGGTCAGACAATGACTAGGCATCCATATGCTTTCCGGAGTCTCTCACCCCTGCCCATATCCAGACATAAGCATATGCAATGCACAGCTGCGAACGGTGACCGTGAGGGAGGGCACAGGGACGGTGGCAGCGGTCTCCCGCGGTGCTCGACAAGTGGTGCACGGCGCAAGTGAGATGCATACGACATTGATAGCAATGGCAACAACACAATGACGAGGAATCTTAATGGATGCACAATTGGATGCCCAATCCTGGGCGATTGTGCCTAACCGGCAGGAACAGAAGGGGTGCATACATACAGTCACGTCTGGCGTGTGAGTGCTTACCTTATACTTTGCAACAACACTGTCCCGTTCTGCCGTCAGGCGGCTGATCTCTGCCTGAGCGTGTTCGTTACCGCTCTCCAAGCGGCTGAGGAGTTCCTGTTGGGCAGTGGAGGTCCTGTCACCGCAGTTATGCGCGTCATAGAGGTCATGATGGAGGCGGTGGATCTCATTTCTGGCCTAGAAATTTAGTCACAGAGGAAAGTCAGTCAGAACCAAACGAAACCTTGATAGGAAAACAAAAACGTGCTCTATCCTTTGATGATAAGCCAGGAGTAAGTATCTTATTCATTATACAGGCTAGAGTGAATTTAAATCACAAGATCTTTTCGACCAGCCGATTATCTTTACAATACTAAGAGGGAAAAGGGTTTTTGAGGTAACAAGATGAGTTTGACACGGGTTTCTTTCAGAATGCTCTCTATAAAACAGTTAATAAATAACTA